TGCATATTGCATGTATGCAAGTACACTCAGACCTCGCTTAGGCTGTCATCACACTGCGTTCTCTGACTCCCATTCACGTCTACGTCTACGGTGAAAAATCCAAAACGGGCAGTCGTGTCATCAAACAAGCACAGGTCTTGACTCGTACATGCGGTCACGTTTTTGGAGAAATTTGAAAATTGAAACGCACGTACAAGGTCGCCTGGAAAAAGACTGTTGGACATACGCACGTTCTGCCCAAAAGTCGCATACCCCCCCCCCCCCCCTCTCCCTACCACGTCAACGTGTTCCGTTTCCTCTGCTCCCATTTTCACTCCGTACATGGATCATCATGACAACCGACCGAAAACTCCTTACGTGGACGTAGACGCAGCGCGTTGTACTGTAGTGTGTTGACAGGCTTATCCGGTCCTCTTTTACCGGATATTAACCGGACCTCACGATCTGCATACCGGGGCATGATTTTGTATACAAACTGGTTCAGATGTGTACAGAAAGCTTCGTTGTATCCGGTTGCATGTGGTTTGCAGAAGCTAGAATCAGGGAGTTGTACGAAGAAACGGGGTCAGTATGACTCCTTGACCTGCTGGCTGCGTGCGGGCAGCACTCAGCTGCATGCAGGTGAATGCTGGTAGCCACATCTTCCATCGGTGCTGCACTTCAGCGGCCGTTCCTCTCACTCAGAACGGCTCGATGACGTTCTACTCATGACGCGTGTGGGGATTCTGAATTGCTTCGTCGCCAATGTTGTAATCTCTCACTCGAGTGAAGCCGAGATCATAACATGGTGTAGACCAGGTGTGCTTTGGGGGTTGATTCACGTGGCTTTGCCAGTTGTGTGGGCTAGGCAGTTATCTGGCGCTAGTCTTGATCTGTTTCATTCAGATATTGCCCACTATCGTTGCTATAAGAGATGGGTGGGTGTGTGGTAGTGGTTGTGGTGGGGCCCTTGCCTGCGTGTCATGGTGACTTATGGCAGTCATGCCAACGCCAATTCCAAGTCATGATTGCTTAGTTTTCCATTCCTGTTGGTTCTCTTGTTGGACAGATTCCCGTCGTGCGAGGAATTGCAAGGTCCTCTTGTCCAGCTCAGTGAGGTCTGTACTACATAGTGTGTTATGTGTTGCTCCTGTTCATTTGATGACAATTACGTATCTCCCGTTGCTTGTCAGTTAGTAAAGGTCCTGACGCACTCCAGCACCTTGAAATAGTCGTAGGGATTCTCACCCTAGCCCAACTGCAAAAAGAACACAAAGGGCGTAAATCTTTAGAGTTATAACATGATTTACGCCCAATATCAATACAGTCAGACCTCGCTTATCCGGTCCTCGTTTATCCGGATCCCTCGCCATCCGGAAGAAAATCGTTGGTTACCGATTTACAGCATATGCCATGTACACATACAGTATGCGTGTCCGATTATCCGGTTCCCTCGCCTATCCGGATATTTTCTGGAAAACGGATGCGTGCAGTTATGCGAGGTCTGACTGTACTGCTAATATCCAGTGCATATTTTCGGTTATTTTCGGCCTGGCCATTTTTTGGCCTAAAATTTGTTGCGGCCGAAAATTTATTTTGCAAGACTCAGTGTCACAGTTGATACAGGCAGCAGCAGTACCGGCTGAAATTTTAGTGTGGCCGAAATTTAAACGCGCCGAAAATTTGTAGACTTTTAAACAGTAATACAAAGAAAGAAAGATAAAGAAAGGAAAATTAGCTGGGGTGAAACCTAACTACCCACTGACCTTAAGTTGAGTTTACAGCCTATACTGTCTTGGCCAGTTAGGGCACGTTCAAACTAGCGATAAAAAGTGACGGAATGGGAAAGCCGACAAGGTGATTTGATCACGTGACGTTACTGGCACGTTACCGGTGGAAAAGTTTTACTGCCGCGGCTGCTGCGGCAGTAAACTTTTACTGGCAGTAAAAAAGTGCTCAGGCTGCATGCGCGCTGGGAAGAAGGGAAAATCCCTTGCCAGTGCCGCGGTGAGAGCTGAAAACTTCACGGTGACGTTAGTTTGTTATCGGTAGTGTGAATGTCCTTCACGGTTTATCGGCATTCACGGTTTGACGGGATTCACGGTAGTCCGAACGCGCCCTAAGGAACGTGTCTGTGTGCAGCAATTACATAGCTGCAATTACCCGACCGATCCTTTTTATTTGTTTTCCCATTGTTGAATACTTATTGAGTACACCACTGTGCTTACATGTGCAGTCATTAGGCCTAGCAGTCATATACTAGCATTCAGTATTATCGTTTCAGCCCTAGAGGGAGACATCTTTAGATTTTCAAGTCAGAAAACAATGAGTGCACATGTTGTAAATTAGTAATGTACATGACTTCACGATTGTGTGTGTGCACGTGTGTGTGTGTGTGTGTGTGTGTGTGTGTGTGTGTGTGTGTGCACGTGTGTGTGTGTGTGTGTGTGTGTGTGTGTGTGTGTGCACGTGTGTGTGTGTGTGTGTGTGTGTGTGTGTGTATGTGTGTGTGTGTGCACGTGTGTGTGTGTGTGTGTGTGTGTGTGTGTGTGTGTGTGTGTGTGTGTGTGTGTGCATGTGTGTGTACCCATGCGTGCATGTGTGTGTGACAGGTTACATTTGCTTACACGCCGGAGAGGACAATTTTCTCCAACGTCGACCTGACTATAAATGCCCAGTCTCGCATTGCAGTTGTAAGCAATCATCCTAGAATCATGTTTTGCTGTTGTCACAGTGCACCATGTGTCTTGGCACTGTGGTATCATCAAGCACGGCTACACCACAGGCACTTTAGTTCGTTTTAGTGGAGTAGACACGCCAAACTACAGTTGTGCTCTGTGAAATCTGACGTAAAGTGTATACTTAGCGCCGTTAACTGGCACGGCCCTTGACACCCTGGATTGGAAATGGTACAAATGTTGCCGGATGCACACGTATACAAGTGAAGTACAGTGATGTCATCTGAACTGGTCCAGGACGTCAGTATTTTAACTTTGGCTCGGATTTCACAGATGAAAATAGAACTGCTCACTCTTCTGTCTGTGTATTCCGCTCTTTGCGCTCGGCAAATTGAGCCCTCTACGGACGGTGGATGAACTTCAGGCGGTGATTTAAATGTTGTATACTTTTTAGAATAATTGCAGCTGAGAGACCGTTTTAGGTGACGGTGTATGATTTTTGTGAGCATGATGAATTGGCTTCAGGTGAGTCTTAGCACCCTAGGAAAAGTTGTAGCTCCACCAAACTCTACCATGTGCCCGATTAGTTGAGGCTTACGAGGTGCACAATTCATAATGTGTTTCTTGTCAGAGCCCGTACTCAATCTACTGAAGCTCGTGGAGAAAATATTTTAAAACGCACCTTATTTCTCCATGCTTCAACGTGTGTGCTTTGCCCGTCGCTTTGTACCGCTGACACTGTGCATTGGCGTATGTAGGTTGGTGCTAATGGTGCAGGAAAGACCACTCTGCTCAAGATCCTCCTGGAAGAACTATCACCTACTAAGGGTGTGCGCTCCAATCATCGGTGAGTACTTTTAGCTACAGCGCCTGCTGCTGTCTATCTTATGCTGTATGCATGGTGTAATTATCGCGATGAAAATGGCCAGCTGGATCGACATGTATAATGGCTTTATTGCACTTTGAAGAACAAACGAATGATGCAAGTTATTCGTTTGTTCTTTGAAGCACAATAAAGCTTTTATACAGTCATGGCGATTCAGCTGGTCCCTTTCATCGCGATTATTAAACTGTTGTCGCGTCATCGCCTGTTTACGTATGTATGTTGGTCGGATTTATTGCGTCTTCCCTCTCCATGCAGCATGTAGCAAGGTGGTCAATTCCTTGCTCCTATTTCACGCGCACGCAGTTTGAGCCAAGACACTCGCGTTCCATTGGATGCACACTCATGCTTCTGTTCTTTGTGTGTGTGTGTGTGTGTTTGTGTGTGTGTGTGTTTACGTGTGTGTGTGTATGCGCGCGTGCACGTGTGCATGTGTGTGTGTGTGCATGTGTGTCATTGATTTTGCATTGCCTACAGCAACCTGAGCATGGCCTACTTCAGCCAGCATCATGTTGACTCTCTGAGCATGCAGCTCTCCTCATTGGACTTGTTCCGTGAGCGATTTTCAGGTATGCACATGTACTTCTTTGCAAGACCGTGTACAGTGAACATAATGTGATATTGCTTTGGACATGTAGTTGGCGTATCTTGCACGACGGTGGGGTTATGCTGGTTTGTATGTGTGTCACTGGACCTGACTGCTCCAGTGGAGTGAGGTGTGTAGCTTTGTGTACATTCTGTCCCGTACAAACACTTTGCCCTGACGAGGTGAGGAAGGTTGTGATGACAAGCCTGCTGCCACCGAATGGATAGCATGTACTGCAGTTGCGATAGACTTGTGGTGTGTGCTGTTTTTCTTGCGGATGACTTGCTTCTGTGCTGAATGTTGCCTGTTGTGTGTGTCAGGGTGTCGTGATGAGGTGTACAGGCAGCATCTTGGATCCTACGGCGTGTCTGGAGAACTTGCCACACGACCCATTGCAACTCTCTCCGGTGGCCAGAAGTCACGAGTAGCCTTTGCCGTCATGACGTGGAAAAAGTGAGATTTCCTCTAAGTTATTCTCGTCTTGTCCAACCTGCTTGGCTGTTTTCGTATTGCCCCTAGCAAGAGTCCATAAGCATGAGTATGCAATTGTGAGCTCTTTTCTTTCAATAATTGGCCCGGTGACGGCGGTGTGCGGCACACTGCCTTCATTACACCATGCAGCTACATACGCACAATGCGGAAAAAATCTAACACCACACTTTCCCTGTGGTTTGAAACCGACTTTCGTGCGGGACATTCAACCAGCATTCCTGCACCCGCAGCTTAGAGACTGCTTTGGTACTTGAGCAACTAAAGCAAAAAATGAATATGCTGGTATGAGAAAACGTGGGTTTGAGAGCATGAGTACAATGTTTGATGTAGGCAAGTTTGGTACTAAAGGCAGCGCGCCGTGCATTGACCCATAACCAGAGTTGCATACTCTTACAGACCTATGCCTTCACCGCTGGTGTGGGTACGGTAACCAGAGTTTTTTTGGCATACGAGTTGTGAACTACGGAAGTCGTCGATGAGTAAGGAAGCCATGATCCACGGTTGTACTGTTGTAGAGTGGTGGCAGCTGCCACCACTGTACAACAGTACAACCGTGGATCATGGCTTCCTTACTCGTGATGTCTCGGTGCTTGCAAGTAGCTGATGGGGCACACAGCTAGACCATTGTGCTGGTTGTGCAGACGTGTGAAATACTGTTCCAAATCACCGGGTTGTTACGTACAGTGCTCAGAAAAGATGCGTACATGTATGTGTGCTCACATCATGGTGAACGTGTGCCTGTACATACTCTGTGCTCCAGAGACAGGTACAGACAGACAGAGAGCGTGTGTATGTGTGTGTGTGCGTTCACGCGCGCATGTGTGTGTGTGTGTGTGTGTGTGCGCGCGCGTGTGTGTGTGTGTGTGTGATTCAAGTCTGCTGCTGGCCTCAAGCGCCATCGCTGTGGACCCCGCCCGAAGCGCCCTACAGTGACTGACCGCCAGCACTTTGAACATCATTGCCGAGTCTGTAATCAACGCCAGTTTCGGAGGCGACAGGACCTGGAGCGCCATTTGAAGCACTGCCTACCTCTCCCCTAACCTCTCTGACAGTACCTCCCTTTGGGGAGCGGCGTGGCCATTTCTGGCAGCTGTCAATAGTAGTAGTAGTAGTAGTGTGTGTGTGTGTGTGTGTGTGTGTGTGTGTGTGTGCGCACACGCTGACGGACTGCCGTATCTCTCAGCTCCTGTGTGAATCTGTCTCTATAATCCGATTACATGATGCACAGCAAGAAGGCAGCAGTACCTGTACCTATGGTGAAGTAAAAAAAAGATAACATAACATACCATTGCTGATCCGTGACGGCTTTCTGCTTGGCTTGTTTTCCTGCTACCAGGCCAAATATGCTGATTCTCGACGAACCTACCAATCATTTGGATGTAGAGACTGTCGAAGCTCTGGGAAGAGCACTGGTCAAGTTCCCCGTGAGTCCATGCGTAACTGCATTACATCTGTTTAGGCATTTAAACCTCGCGTGTCTCGTTCCGAAAGAGGGGGGGGGGTGCAGTGAAAAGCATGCATGTAGTGTGTTTGGGGTTCTCCGGCTTCCTGGTCTATCTGGGTGTATTTTGAAGTTACATGATGTAGTAGTGGTGTACTTCAGTACATGTGTGTGTACGTGTACGTGTGTGTGTGCCATGTGGTGCAGTGGTATGTGCAGCGATTTCCAATCGATAGGTTGCAGGTTCGATTCCCGACGATTATTGCCACACATGTCTTTCTTCTCTTTCTCAGACTCTTCCTGACTTTTCTTTCCACTGAGCTATGGTGTAGTCGTCATCTCAGCAGAGACTGTTCTTAAAAATTGGTGAAGTTCTAGCCTGGCCGTTCTTCAGTGCCCGATAGTACTGTTGCATGAAGCAAACTAGCCGTTTTGCCTTGTTGGCCTGTGTGTGTGTGTGTGTGTGTGTGTGTGTGTGTGTGTGTGTGTGTGTGTGTGTGTGTGTGACACGTTTTATGTCGTTTGTCAGGGTGGTGTGGTGTTAGTTAGCCACGACGAGACGCTGATTGACATGGTGATGCAAGAGCTGTGGGTGTGCGGCGACGGCTCCGTCAAGTCACTGGAGGGTGGTCTCAAGGAGTACCGCAAGCGCATTCTGGCCGAGATCGAGAGTGGTGGCCTGTGAGAGCATGTGGCCCTGCACAGTCAGTGAGAGCATGTGACCATTCTGTAAGGCCCTGCACAGTCTGTGTGTGTCAACTCCTCATAGCACCTATTTTCCATGGATGTGGTGGTGGCGTCCATTGCGTTGGGCTGCGTTGTGCTCGTCCCTATCAATCACAACATTGCCTTTTGCCCACACATACACACGTATCATCAGTCCTGTGACTGAAGGGCAGTAGTTGGCTGCGTGGGTTAGCATACACACACACACACACACACGCACACGCACACATACATACATACACACACACACACACACACACACACACACACACACACGTGTACACACGTGCACACACGTGTCCACAAACTCATGTGTGTTCGCACACCCTGTCCATACCAGTTAAATGATTGAACCTGGCCCGGGTGCAAACCAGCATTGGACATTGCTCCACTTGCCGTGGTCTTGCTCTGTCCTTTGCAGCTGTTGTGATATTTTCCTGTTATGATATGCTGTATACCAGTCTAGTAACTTACTCGGATGGCCATTATTTATTTGTCCATGCTACATACCACTACTACTGGCACTAGTGACGGCTCTTTCCCTTTCCCATTCATGCCGACGCCACGTTCTCCGACATGCGCGCCTACTTTTCGTCTTTGCCGCATCGTGTGGAGTTCTAAAGCACCGGTGGTACTTCCTTGGGACTTCGGCCTTTGTTCTATGCCATAACTACCATGCAGAAATGTGTCCATGTGTCCGTTGGCCTCGTGTTAACTGTGCAGGCCGGTGTGTGTGTGTGTTACGCAGTGTCGATCCTCCGTGTGTGCATGTACCGACTGGACAGAGCGCTGTACGGTGAAGACACGACGAGCTCTTGGCAGCCCTAAGCTGTGTTTCAATCAGCGGGCTTTACGCCTTCCTAGGCCCTGGTTCCATCCCCACAAGTTATCGTGCCCCCCCCCCCCCCCATAGGCCATACTACTAGTTCTGAGATGTCTCATGTGTTAGCACGCGCTAAGAAACGCGAGATTCTCTGCTGAGCCCGTGTACCTAGATGTAGGCTTCTGATCCAAGTAGCAGCGTGTTAGATGCACGGTGTGTTAGCTGCGTGTTGATGCACGGAGCTGTCAAATACCGTTGCCTATACATGTACAGTGCATTCATACCTCATTTATCCGGGCAGTCCGGGACCGGGCACTGTCGGTAGCTTTCAAATGTCCGTACATGTAACTCCGATCCACATACATTTTGATGGAGAAAGGCCATAGATATGGCATACCGGTATGACGTCGCTGTTTCCGAAAAAATGATAAACGTGTTGTAACATTTCCACGGAAACTCGCCCAAAGGGTGCCCGGTAGACCGAAGTGCCCATAACCCTGGGATCGGGATAACCGATGTATGAGTGTATCGGTACCAAGAGTATAATCCCCCATACTCTTGCCGGTGCATGCAAAAGGCACAAAGGTTTTATTTTTGCATGTCGCAACTCCGAGTTTCTTTGCTTCATACCATACGTGGTTCAAGTTGGTAGCTCAGTTCATCATAGTCATACCTGTCAATTAATATTTCTTCAAATCAATGACGTGCAATGCTCCTGTACAAATAAAGGCATGTACATTGCATACAATCATGTACATGTACATGTACATGTATGCCGGCTTAGTTATAGTTAAACACTGTACTAAGTCTTGTACATGTAGTGGCATGTTGTATGTAATGACACAGGTAGATACGCTGCTTGTTCAGAGTGCTATAGAATACCAGTGCAATGTGCTAGCAATAAGGATGCATGTGCAATTGTGCATGCATGCCGCATGTACCGGTACATGTGCTCTGTACATGATTGTAGTCACTATGTAGTATGACTTGTAGAAACTAGAATGTACAATGTACCGTACATGTATTACACGGTCATGGGTATACTGTACAGGTTGAACTTTTAAAAATAATACCTGTACGAATTCAATGATTGGGCCCGCTGAATGGCTATTTACATGTACGCGAAACTGAGTACATTTCTCAACATGCGAAGAGAGGATGTGTGGAAACTGTTTACACCGGATATACTACTATTATAAAGTCAATATGTGTGTGTTCATAGGTGTGTTCTACAATGTGAATGTGACATTGCTATGCATGGCTCTCCTACTGCTATCTTACTACTTGTTGGTTGACAGCATGGAGCAAGGTGGAGACCACCGCGTTCGGAAACAGTGACCTTACAAGTTACCACAACCTCCGAGGTTGGCAGAGCCCCGGTCTTCACGACCATCTGAACCGTATACCATAGCTTACTACTTGTAGGCAAGTCTTGTTTGATTGGATAGCGGCCATGTTAATTGGTTGACAGCTTTCTACTTGTGGTGAGGCACACAGCGAAAGCCTATTACTCGCTTTCCTAAAACGGCCCAATAGCGACGCCGAGCCAAGGGTGTCCGGCCTCCATCTGTCCTCTTCTTCAGCCGTAATGTGGAGTAGTGCACCCTAGCACAACGCCCAGTGGGGAAAGCATCATCTCTACGTAATCGACAGTATCTTCTTGTAGGGCTTTCCACATCGGCAGTGAGCTCGGCTTCCCACCAATTGTTAGGCTTCTGCGTCTGGTCGCGTTTACAAACGAAATGGTAGGAGCAGTCTCCAGCCGCGTCGCTACCAGCGGCTGGGGCCGGTCCGTGTAGATGCTCGCAGCGAGTCCGCGGCGACATAATCATTACCAGTGCCCGCTGGAGGGCATCCTGGAATGTCACTCGCAAGCTGCTTTGTCCCCTGCTGCCAGTAGAGTCCATGGTGTTCATGGTCATGATATTCGCACCAGACCGATTTTCTGGCTCTGGATTCCGGGCACCTGTCGATGGTGCAGGTTGGCGGGACTGAGCAGGGCGAGTAGCCATGCTGACAGTGTCGGATATCTGTAGGTGTGCTGCGGCTTGTTGGCGGTGGCTAGTCTGCTGCATCGCTGATGACCTACCCTCACTAGGTCGCTGAGCTGGGGCACTGGCGGCAGGATATCCTCTTGCCAGTATTGGTACCAGGCACAAAGAAAACAGCATCGCGATACTCTGGAAGGGAAAGGTCACAAGGAGAACGGGCAGAGGCAATGAGAACTTGAAATGCACACAGCATGCTAGTAGATTGCGATGAGTACTATTTCTTCAATGGTACTGCTTCATCATGCCATTATTGGGAACTCCACGAAGTACTCAGCGCAATCGACAGAGTATCATGATGCTGTTTTCTTTGGACAAACCGGTCTAATATCAAAAAAGTATTCTTTCTAGACCAAAGAGTGGTATATTTGATAACATTTAATAACGATAGAAATATTTACGATACTTCTCCAGACGTTTCGTTGTTCTGAACAACATCGTCAGTGGATAAAGAAACCATTCTTTATCCACTGACGATGTTGTTCAGAACAACGTTCTTTATCCACTGACGATGTTGTTCAGAACAACGTTCTTTATCCACTGACGATGTTGTTCAGAACAACGTTCTTTATCCACTGACGATGTTGTTCAGAACAACGAAACGTCTGGAGAAGTATCGTAAATATTTCTATCGTTATTAAATGTTATCAAATATACCACTCTTTGGTCTAGAAAGAATACTTTTTTGATATTACAATGAGAGTGAATAATCAACGGCTTGTCCACCAACTCTTTAAACCGGTCTAACTCCAACTCGAAAACGCAAGGTCCCCCAACTATTACTTGGGAGGCTCAAAGGTACATGTATGTAATAATACATACTAGTATTAAAGAAGGGAAGCCAAGCGAAGACAAACTGTCACAAACCGAAAGCCCATATCCGACTAAACTCCACGTTGATGTAATGGTGATTGTACATGTACACATGTACATGTACATGTGTACAGTCATGTACATGTACCACTACTAGTACAGTTACATGTATTAAATTTGGATTTGCTGGGTTTGACAGTCAGAAGTCGTAAATCCGGAGATGGGGTACCGGGTACGAGTTACACAGACCGATGACTTAAAAATGCGTCTGGGTTAGAGTACAATCATGTACTTACAATACGCACACTGGGCTTGTGGATTGCGTTGCTATGGGTGACCGTGCTTCCGCGTAGCATGTTGAAAGCTTGCGACGACTTTGTCTCACCTAACTGCTAGTGGCGCTGAACGCTGGGCACTCAAGTTCTCACAGGGGTGACTGCTGGAGAACGCCGGTTACGAACTTCACCAAGCCCGTCGCCAGTCAGTGAAGGAAGGCGCAGAGTGGAGGGAAGACGGCAGATACCGCGGAGTACAGCAGTTGAAAATAAGAATGTTGATGATGACTGCCTTAGAACGTCCTATAGTGGGAGCTTGCAAGAGTAGTGGAAGAAAACAAACTTGACTTTCTGAAAGTTTGTCTATTTTCTGGTCACTAATGAAGGGTTCACACCTGTCGTCGAAGGTCGTTACTTTCCTGTGCCACAGCCAAGCGGAATAAACCTTTCTTTATAAGAAACTGGCTGGAGACGAGTGAAGGAAGGGAAAGCCCTCGTTGCTCTACTTCTTCCGAGAAGTTCTATCCAGTACATGTAAGTTCTATCCAATTTCTATGCGAATCGAATAGAGGAACAATGCATGCAGACTCGCCCATAACGTGTGGAGGGGATGGCTAGGGACAGTGAGTGTTGGAATTGGCTACTTCCTCGTCTCATTTTCACCTTACTGCTGGGGCGAAGTAAAGGTGAGAAAATGACAATGGCGACGTTTCAACGGCAGGTAATTGCTGGGTCGAAATGGTGCTCTGCCCCACAGTGTATGGGACCAATCCCAAACTCCGAAAGAAAACAAAATCATGTTGCGCGAAATAGTTGTCTCTCCGTTGAAGCGGCTTACATGTGGTGGCCATCATTGACGGCATACCACGGCTTGCTCTCATCTTATTTTCCGTATCCGCCATACTTTTCAGCTGGTTCTCAGAATAGTCCCAAACGGGGCAGGTGTGTCGTCCGTCACTGTGCCTAACCAATATACTCGGAGCAAGGCGCGCTTGGACACTCTGGAAGAGTGGACTCTATTCTGAGAAGTGCTCCAACCGTGAACACCCATCCAGCCATGGGAAAGAGTTGACTCAGCCAGGATGTTGCTTCGTGGTGATTGGACGATTGGGGGGACACACAATTCCCCAGTACCCCTCTAGTCTTACATACGTTGCGACTGATGGTGCGGCCTTGGTCCACTTCACTGGACGACTAGTATCGGATAAAAGAAAGTACCCTGCCTGCAGGCAATAGGTTATACATTGTAGAACCACGGCCATAATACATGTAGAATCTGAATGTATGCCCTCATTACCTCAGTGTTTGATCCGGGAGATCGCTGTTTGCGGGCACGCCTTAGCCACAATTTTACCTTGCACGTCCTGAACAGGCTGAAGCCCTAATTGAAACAGCTACATTGTACATGGTCGAGTGGTGGCCGGACTATCCGTAGTGTGGGAGGTTGGGATATTGAGCTGAGCGCTCCTGCCACCACACAGACTACAGCATATTGCTAGTACTAGTAGTACATAGTACTGCCTACTGGCACTGCTGCAGTGCATGATTGTGCTGGATCTGCCTAGCTTTATGCCATAATCTTATTGACAGCTGAGTGTGACAGGCCTACATAATGTACATTGTACATGACCGATGTAGCTGGGCCACAGCGACGCCATGCGCCGGCCACAAGCCCACCACCACGATCATGCATGTGGCAAACAGGACTCGACAAGGACAAAATGCCAAACGCTAGTTCGCGCACTTGCTGGAAGCC